AAATTACTATGATAGTAATAAAATATGGTCCTCTTTTTATTAGTATGATGTGTTTGTTTTATCCATGAATTGTAGGTATTACCAGTTTGACCAAAATTGCGATCAGACATTATTTTAGGAAACATAAGTTAAAAAGTCGGTTTCCCCGAAAGATGTATACCCTCAGCCAATGTCCGTTTATTTAAATATATTTTGACTAGCGTTATAAATATTCTAAAATTTTACCCTTTATAAGGGGAAGTACTAGATGGAGTGTGCCGATATTCTCATATGCATACACATACATATTCGGATTTGTAAAGTTTGAACAAAATTGGATAATCCTTTCTGGTTGTGTAAAATTAATTATTTTCTGAAAAAAATTGAAAATTGGTACCGATATTTCCACATCTGAACTCGATGTAAATTTGATAATTATATTATGATGTACCAAATTTGGATCAAATCGGATATTATCTTCTAGAGTTATCGTGCGCACAAGCCAGGCAGATAGGCAGACGACTTCAAATGTCCTGAAAAGGAATTGGTCTAGGACGTTTTGGCATATCAAATTATACTCTCTGAACATTTAATGTTGATAAAGCAATTTTTTACAAACCAACTATACTTATACTACGTTATAATTGCTAAAATTCGGATAAGGAAAACAAGTAAAAAATTAGGTTCGGCCAGGCCGAAATTTTAATGCCTTCCTCCTAATAAAAGGGGAAAAAAATTGCATACGTATCTGAATTCAAACGCTTTCCACTTTAAACCACAAATACCAGTACGACCGTTTGGATAATGATGTTAAACCTAAAAAAAAAAAACATAAAGAGGATGAGGCCGTTATATGGCCAAAACGGGAAACTGCATAGACAATTTTATACATCGATGATTGTCATCGACCAAATCTTCTTAAATGCCAAATTTGAAACAATTTCGTGGGTAAATGTGATTAGGATTATCAAAATACCGAGTATCGGTGGGTATATGTGTATATGTGCGCCATAGGAAAACGTGGACATACATTTTCAATGTTCTGCCACGGAAGCTAGAACATATTATAAACTACAAATACAAATTCTTAGACAAATCTGTGGAAAAATGTGGCAAAAATCATCAAAATACCTATATGTGGTATTTTATACAGGGGCTATACGAAAACGTTGACCTATACATACAATGTTTCGTCATCAGAGCTAGAACCCATTATGACTAACAAATACCAATTTTTAGACAAATCCTTGAAAAAATGTGGCAAAAAACATCAACATACCGAATATCGGGAGGTACCGTTATATAGCGGCTATACCAAAACGTGAAGCGATATATCTCATTTTACAAATTGTTCTGCCAAATTTTGAAGCTCTACGTCAAATAATGTAGGCTGTATCGTGATTTTAACAGACAGATAGAGGGCAAACAAACAGACGAACATGGTTAAAGAATTTTAGAAATTTTAAAATTTTTTGCTGATTATTATGGGGTCTACGACGAATATTTAGGGATGTTACAAACGGAATGACAAAGTTAATATACCCTCCTTTTCAAGGACATTCTCTGCTTTGGGTTGCCAAATGCGGGTTTAAAGGCAAAAAAGTAAAAAAAACAACTAAGTTCGGCCGGGCAGAACTTTAAATACTTGAAATTAGAAAAAAAAATCCGAAAACTACTATTTAACTGAAAACCGATATACGAAATATTTTTGTCATTGGCTGTAGTGCCCATTACGAACTATAAATACGAAATTTGAAACAGTTCCACTGAATAATATCGCTAAAATCATTAAAATATCGAATATCGGGAGGTACCGTCATATGGGGGCTATACATAGACGTGGACCTACATACAAAAATTTTTGTTATAGGCTTTAGTAGCCATTAAGAACTTTAAATATGAAATTTGACAATAATTCCGGTAAATAATGTCGCTAAAATCATGAAAATACCGAATATCGGTAGGTACCGTTATATGGGGACTATACGAAAAGGTGGACCGATATGGCCCATTTACGAACATAACCTGCCTACTGGTAAACTATGCATGTGTGCAAAATTTTAGCCTTTTATCTCAATTCATTCGAAAAATGGTGTGATGGACAGACAGACTGACGGACGGAGACCGCTAGATCGTCTTAGAATTTCCAGAATATATATACCTTGTAGGGTCTATTATGAATACTTCGAGGAGTTACAAAAGGAATATACCCTCCATAGAATATACCCTCCATAAAATGCTGGAGGGTATAAAAATATTGTTGGAATATAAAAATTTGATATTGAGAATTGAGGATATTTACAGCGCTAAAGTTAAAATTTGTTGTATTCAGTTTTTTGATTTTTATCATGGCTAGAATGTTCAAAACACCGAATATCGGAAGGTACAATTATATGGAATCAATTCGAAAACGCGGACCGATATAGCTCATTTTTAAGACCAATCAACCTATAACCCAATCCCAAAAAAACTCTGCGTCAAGTAATATGGGCTGTATCTTGATTTCAACAGACAGGCGGACAAGCCGAGGAACGGACATCATTGAGTAAACTGATGACAAGTATATTTACTTTTTAGGATCCCCGACGAATATTTGGGGCTTAATGACAAATTGTATATATCGTCCTTCCTATTGTGGAGGGAATAAAAATATTCTAATCACATATCGCCTTGGTAACGGTGTTTCAAGGACCTTAGATCTCTTAGTAAAAGGTGGACATATTTGTGCTTCGTCTTATATTTATTTATTTATTTATTTTATTTATTTCGTCAAAGTTAAATAATCACTATTTTTATATGTATGTTTTGTAAACACGAGACTTATGTTTAATAATGAGAAAAAATCATCCGATTGTTGAATTGTGAATAGACTTAATGGAATACTTAATCGCTTGTAATGTCTATTTTTTATTTTTGGCGATAAGAACCCACCCAAATATACCAAACTGTCTACAATATACGGAAGAACTCTATTCGTGTGTATGTATGTACGCAGTATTAAATTTTCTTATTTGCCGAAAGGTTAATTAGGTAATGCCAAACCTTGATTTTTGTTTGAGCCAGTGAATGAACTTTAATCGCAGAACTATTTTTGAAGCCCCCACTGATTATCAATAACCCAGTATAGATAATGTATGTGTGTGAGCTTAAAGTAGTGTGTGTGGCCCAGTATTTAATCCATATTTTAAATTTTTAATTTTTTTCAACAAAAATTGAAAAGAATTGAATATCGAAATTAAATTTCGATATTCTTTTGGGGTTGGACACAATATATCCGTTCAATTTTCAAAAAAAAAAAAAATGTATTGAATTAACATTGAAAGGGTTTTATTTTCAAAATAAATACTATTTTAATTTTCATCTAATCGAAAATACTCACACATACATTCTCAACACATAAAAAATCTACACCTACACAAGCGAGCTGAATAGTATAAGTAGCTCAAAAATAAAAATAAAAACCAGTAAAGAAAGTCTTAAAGTCGGGCGAGGCCGACTTTATGATACCCTACACCACTTTGCTAATTAAGTAGAGCTCCAAAAGTTTTTATGGGAGTATTCAATAATACACGCTATGATTATAACTATAATTTAAAGTTCAAAAGACTAAATAAGCCGAAGCATTTGTATCGGTTAAATTCGGACATGTATTGCCCATTTGATATATATGGGAGACATATCCAAATCTGAACCGATCTTGATAAAATTTGGCAAAGATATTTCTGACCTGTATTGTATATATTTCCCTGAGTATCGCTGTTACGGAGTGCATATTACGGCTGTGGGTAACAAATGTAAGAAATATCGGATGAACAATATATATGGGAGCTATAGCTATATCTGAACCGATCTTCACCAAATTTGACATACTAGCTTCTAGACTTCGGGCTTCGGTCGTAAGTGCCAATTTTCATCCCACTTGGGCAAATATTAGACGTTTAATGCACAATAAAATGTAAATCGGACGAAGTTATATATGGGAGATATATCCAAATACGAACCGATCTCGATAAAATTCAGCAAAGGTATTTCTGAGCTGTATTTGATATATTTCCCCAAATATTGTTGTTGCAGAGTGCATATAACGGCTGCGGAGGACTAAAATAACAAATCGGATGAACAATATATCTGAACCGATTTCGATCAAATTTGACATACTTATTTTCAGGCCTGATTTGGTTGTATGTTCAAAATTCCATACTACTCGGGCTGATATTACATGTTTGGTGCACAATAAAAGGCAAATCGGACGAAGATATATATGGGAGCTATATCTAAATTTCTACCGATTATCTCCAATTTCAATAGGGTTCGTCCATGGGCCGAACAAATGATTTGTGCAAAATTTCATCTGGATCGGGTAATAAATGGGAACTGTACTTTGTTCACAAAAGTACATGGACAGACGAATGGGCGACAGACGGACGGACATGCATAAATCGACTCAGAATGCGATCCTATGCAGATCATCAAAAGGAACTATGGGTCTATCTCGTTTCCTTTTGTCAGTTACAAACAAATGCACAAAAACATAATACCCTGCCCACCTTGTGGTGTAGGGTATAACAAATATTGTTAACCAAATCTAAAAAAAACATAATATTTGGTTTTATAAAGAAAACATGGAAATACCCATACATTGACAAATAATTTAAAATGCATAGATGCAATACACAACTACACCTTAAATAAATACTCATTAGAGAAATGTTTTCTTATTTTCAAAGCAAATACTAATGTTTACTTGAGCTCAACTATTAAAAAAATAAAAAAAATGCTTAGAATAAAATCTGCCTGTGGCTGCCACCAGAACCAATAATAGCCCCGTATTCATAGTTCAAGAAGTTATCAATGGGATGGTCTCAAACTCACACTCAAACACAATGAAAAAGAAAATCGAAAAACTGAATAGTTATGCCGCGGATTTCGTTGTCTATTTTTTTTTTTTGTTTCCAAAACATTTTTGGTGATAAGAACGACCCCATGATTGAATCATAAAATCTGCATTTCCAATGGTTGTGAGTGGTTTTTCGACAAAAAATTTGAAATAAAAGTCAGTGTCAAAATTTTAAGCACTCAGAGTTAATTCCTCTTCAGACCTTAACTAAACTCGAAAGAAAAAAATGGCCGGTGCCTTGAAATACGTTTTCGTAGCTGTAGCTATCTTCTGCTACATGCAGGTATGTTTGGAAAATAAAGTGAAGTGAAAAATGGAAAAGTGAAAATGTCCTGCCAGGATAACTGTGATAATGAAAATGTAGAAATGAAACATTGGATAATTGGAATTTCTTTTGTAATTTTAGCAAGCTGAGATGGCCCGTTTGCCACGCAACACCGGTGCCGAACCAGCTCTGCCCGCCAACATCTTCGAGGCTTTCACCAAGCCTGAATTCTGGGTAAGTTGTGAAAAAAAAAGTGTCTAGTTTCAAAATAAGAGAAAACCTCATATTAGGAAGTGATTGATTTTGAAAAGCTAATATTGAGTGGAATATGTGAAGAAGGTATAAAGTAAATTTTTTTAAAAGGAATAAAACAATAACATCTGAGAATTAATATTAAATTTAATTTAATAAAAATTAATTTAATTTTAATTTAGTAAATATTAAAAAATGTTCGAATTTCAAAATTACAAAAAAACTTTAAATTAATTTAATTAAATTCAAAATAAAATTAAAAAAAAAAACCAGTAAAGAAAGTCTTAAAGTCGGGCGGCGCCGACTTTATGATACCCTACACCACTTTGCTAATTAAGTAGAGCTCCACATAACAATTAAAAGTTTCTATGGGAGAATTCAATCATACACGCTATGATTATAATTATAATTTAAAGTTCAAAGGACTAAATTCGGAATTGTATTGCCCATTTGGTGCACAATTAACTTGAAATCGGATAAAGATATATATGGGAGTAATATCCAAATCTGAACCGATCTCGATAAACTTTGGCAACGATATTTCTGAGCTGTATTTGATATATTTCCCTGAATATCGTTGTTACAGAGTGCATATTACGGTTGTGGGTACCAAATATAACAAATCGGATGAATAATATATATGGAAGCTATAACTATATCTGAACCGATCTGAACCAAATTTGACATACTAGCTACTAGACTCAATTCGGTCGTAAGTGCCAAATTCCATCCCATTTGGACAAATATTAGACGTTTGGTGCACAATAAAAGGTAAATCGGACGATGTTATATATGGGAGCTATATCCAAATCTGAACCGATCTCGATAAAATTTAGCAAATGTATTTCTGAGCTGTATTTGATATATTTCCCCGAATATTGTTGTTGCATAGTGCATATTACGGTGGCGGTGGACAAAAATAACAAATCGGATGAACAATATATATGGGAGCTATAGCTATATCTGAACCGATTTCGATCAAATTTGGCATACATATTTTCAGGCCTAATATGGGTGTATGTGCAAAATTCCATACAATTCGGGCTGATATTACACGTTTGGTGCACAATAAAAGTCAAATCGGACGAAGATATATATGGGAGCTATATCCAAATTTTGACCGATTATCTCCAATTTCAATAGGGTTCGTCCTTAAGCCAAACAAAAGACCTTTGCAAAATTTCATCTGGATCGGGCAATAAATGCGACCTGTACTTTGTTTACAAAAATACATGGACAGACGGACAGACGGACGGACGGACGGACGGACGGACGGACAGACGGACGGACGGACATGCATAAATCGACTCAGAATGTGATTCTATGCAGATCATCAAAAGGAACTATGGGTCTATCTCGTTTCCTTCTGCCTGTTACAAACAAATGCACAAAGACATAATACCCTGACCACCTTGTGGTGTAGGGTATAATAATACATTTAGAACAAAAAACTTAAAAAAAAACTTTAAACTGAATTTGAATACGACATGAAAATCAAAAAAAAAAAAATAATAAATTCAGTTATCACTTTTCGTAATTTTTAGAGCTAACTTCCATCCAGACTTTCCACTTTTAGAATAAGAATTTAACAAAATAGAAGAGCTTTAGCCTTCTACTCATAGAAGATCTTCCGGAGGCCTTCGATTCATAATATGTGAAGAATGTATAAAGTAAAATTTTATAAAAAGAATAAAACAATAACATCTGAGAATAAATATTAAATTTAATTTAATAAAAATTAATTTAATTTTAATTTAGTAAATATTAAAAAATTTTCGAATTTCAAAATTACAAAAAAAAAACTTTAAATTAATTTAATTAAATTCAAAATAAAATTAAAAAAATTGAAAAATTTAGAACAAAAAACTAAAAAAAATTTTAACTCAATTTTGAATACGTCATGAAAATAAAAAAAAATAAATTCAGTTATCACTTTTCGTAATTTTTAGAGCTAACTTCCATCCAGACTTTCCACTTTTAGAATAAGAATTTAACAAAATAGAAGAGCTTTAGCCTTCTACTCATAGAAGATCTTCCGGAGGCCTTCGATTCATAAAAGAGCTTCTGTAGCATTCCTATGGCTAGAAAGGCTTCAGAAGCTCTTCTATGGCCTTCTGAAGCTCTTCTATGCGTAGAATACCTTTTGAAGCTCTTCTGTGCGTAGAAGAGCCTGTGAAGCTCTTCTGTGAGTAGAAGAGCCTCTGAAGCTCTTCTGTGCGTAGAAGAGCCTCTGAAGCTCTTCTGTGCGTAGAAGAGCCTCTGAAGCTCTTCTGTGCGTAGAAGAACCTCTGAAGCTCTTCTGTGCGTAGAAGAGCCTCTAAAGCTCTTCTATGGCTAGAAGGCCTTTAGAAGCTCTTCTATGGCTAAAAGGCCTCAGAAGCTCTTCTATGGCTAGAAGAGCCTCTGAAGCTCTTCTATGGCTAGAAGAGCCTCTGAAGCTCTTTTATGGCTAGAAGAGCCTCTGAAGCTCTTCTATGGCTAGAAGAGCATCTGAAGCTCTTCTATGGCTAGAAGAGCATCTGAAGCTCTTCTATGGCTAGAATAGCCTCTGAACCTCTTCCATGGCTAGAAGAGCCTCTGAGGCTCTTCTATGGCCAGTAGAGTTTCTCAAGCTCTTCTATGGCTAGAAGAGTCTCTCAAGCTCTTCTATGCCTAGAAGAGCCTCTGAAGCTCTTCTATGGGTAGAAGAGCCTCAATAGAAGGCCTTGTGAAGCCTTCTATCAATAGAAGGCCTTCCGAAGCTCTTCTATGGCTAGAAGGCCTTCTGAAGGTTTTCTATGGCTGATGGTTAGAATGCCTTCTGAATGTCTTCTATGGCTCGAAGACTTTCTGAAGCTCTTCTATGGCTCGAAGACCTTCTGCAGCTCTTCTCGGGCTAGAAGACCTTCTGCAGGTCTTCTCGGGCTAGAAGACCTTCTGTAGCTCTTCTCGGGCTAGAAGACCTTCTGCAGCTCTTCTCGGGCTAGAAGACCTTCTGCAGCTCTTCTCGGGCTAGAAGACCTTCTGCAGCTCTTCTCGGGCTAGAAGACCTTCTGCAGCTCTTCTAGAGCTAGAAAACCTTCTGAAGCCTCTCTTCGGCTAAAAGACCTTCTGAAGCTTCTCTACGGCTAAAAGACCTTCTGAAGGTTTTTTAGCTACCCAAGGTCTTCTACTTGTTTATGTTTATTCAGATTCTAAAATTTGATTTTTAATAACCCATTTTCTTTCTTCTCTTTTCATGACTTTAGAACTCCCTCTCCAAGAACATTTCTGATGCTTTCACTGAAGTAAGTATAGCCTTTTGAAGATAAATTATTTAAACTAAAAAAAGTAGAAAGTACCACTTTTACTAACGTATTTCTCTCTCGTTTTTCTTTCTTTGTAGGAAAACTTGAAGAAATACGGCATCCGCCCGGTAACTCTTGTAATTTCCTTGTTTTAACCCCTTTTCTTTTGACATTTATTTATTTTTGCTTTACTTCTTTTCGTTGCGCTCATTAGGAGGATGTTAAGGAAGGTTTCGCTAAGGTCCAAGAAAATGTCCAAACTGGCTTCGCTGAATTGCAAAAGAACGTCAACAACTTGCTCGAACAAAACCAACCCGCTGCCGCCGCCGACGCCAAGCCCAAGAAGCAAAGGACCAAGTAAATCATTTCACTCAAGAGGCTAAATGTTTGTTTATAGATTGTTTTTATGAATAAATGTTTATTTTTTTTTATAAAATAAATTACTTTAGTTGATTTTTTTATCTTTTATTCAGTTGGTTTTTAGAAAAATTACAAAAAAACGTCATTCGAATATTTTATTTAATTTCTAGTTTTTAGTTTTTCTTTTAAGTTAAGAAAAAAAATAAGAAACAAAAAAATGTCTTTTATAAATATGTTTGTTAAATAAACTTTTGTTTAATTACTACTAGAATTTACTTGTTTTATTATTAAAGTCCTATTTCAGGACCATCAGAGCTATCAATGTGGGATTTTTAAGGATATTTTTTCAAGGACCAATTGACGTGGATTTTTTAAAAAAATATTTTTTCACGGACCTTCAGACCAATAAACTTGGATTTTTAAAGAATATTTTTTCAAGGACCTTTAGAGCAATAAACCTGGATTTTTTTAATAATATTTTTTCAAGGACCTTCAGACCAATAAACTTGGATTTTTTAAAGAATATTTTCTTCAAAGACCTTTAGACCAATAAACGTGGATTACTTAAAGAATATTTTTTCAAGGACCTTCAGACCAAAAAACGGGGATTTTTAAGACAATTTTTAAGGACCTTCAGACCAATATACGTGGATATTTTAAAAAATATTTTTTCAAGGACCAATAATTGTGGATTTTTTAAAAAATATTTTTTCAAGGACCAATAATCGTGGATATTTTAAAAAATATTTTTTCGAGGACCAATAATCGTGGATATTTAAAAAAAAAAATTTTCAAGGATCAATAGACCAATAATTCTGGATTTTTTAAAGAATATTTTTTGAGGACCAATAGACCAATAAACGTGGATTTTTTAAAGAATATTTTTGAGGACCAATAGACCAATAAACGTGAATTTTTTAAAGAATATTTTTTGAGGACCAATAGACCAATAAACGTGGATTTTTTACAGAATATTTTTTGAGGACCAATAGACCAATAAACGTGGATTTTTTAAAGAATATTTTTTGAGGACCATTAGACCAATAAACGTGGATTTTTTAAAGAATATTTTTTGAGGTCCAATAGACCAATATACGTGGATTTTTTAAAGAATATTTTTTGAGGACCAATAGACCAATAAACGTGGATTTTTTAAAGAATATTTTTTGAGGACCAATAGACCAATAAACGTGGATTTTTTAAAGAATATTTTTTGAGGACCATTAGACCAATAAACGTGGATTTTTTAAAGAATATTTTTTGAGGTCCAATAGACCAATATACGTGGATTTTTTAAAGAATATTCTTTCAACATCCAATAAACGTGGATTTTTTAAAGAATATGTTTTCAACATCCAATAAACGTGGATTTTTTAAAGAATATTTTTCAACATCCAATAAACGTGGATTTTTTAAAGAATATTTTTTCAACATCCAATAAACGTGGATTTTTTAAAGAATATTTTTTCAACATCCAATAAACGTGGATTTTTTAAAGAATATTTTTCAACATCCAATAACCGTGGATTTTTTAAAGAATATTTTTTCAACATCCAATAAACGTGGATTTTTTAAAGAATATTTTTTCAACATCCAATAAACGTGGATTTTTTAAAGAATATTTTTTCAACATCCAATAAACGTGGATTTTTTAAAGAATATTTTTTCAACATCCAATAAACGTGGATTTTTAAAGAATATTTTTTCAACATCCAATAAACGTGGATTTTTTTAAAGAATATTTTTTCAACATCCAATAAACTTGGATTTTTTAAAGAATATTTTTTCAACATCCAATAAACGTGGATTTTTTAAAGAATATTTTTTCAACATCCAATAAACGTGGATTTTTTAAAGAATATTTTTTCAACATCCAATAAACGTGGATTTTTTAAAGAATATTTTTTCAACATCCAATAAACGTGGATTTTTTAAAGAATATTTTTCCAACATCCAATAAACGTGGATTTTTTAAAGAATATTTTTTCAACATCCAATAAACGTGGATTTTTTAAAGAATATTTTTTCAACATCCAATAAACGTGGATTTTTTAAAGAATATTTTTTCAACATCCAATAAACGTGGATTTTTTAAAGAATATTTTTTCAACATCCAATAAACGTGGATTTTTTAAAGAATATTTTTTCAACATCCAATAAACGTGGATTTTTTAAAGAATATTTTTTCAACATCCAATAAACGTGGATTTTTTAAAGAATATTTTTTCAACATCCAATAAACGTGGATTTTTTAAAGAATATTTTTTCAACATCCAATAAACGTGGATTTTTTAAAGAATATTTTTTCAACATCCAATAAACGTGGATTTTTTAAAGAATATTTTTTCAACATCCAATAAACGTGGATTTTTTAAAGAATATTTTTTCAACATCCAATAAACGTGGATTTTTAAAGAATATTTTTCAACATCCAATAAACGTGGATTTTTTAAAGAATATTTTTTCAACATCCAATAAACGTGGATTTTTTAAAGAATATTTTTTCAACATCCAATAAACGTGGATTTTTTAAAGAATATTTTTTCAACATCCAATAAACGTGGATTTTTTAAAGAATATTTTTTCAACATCCAATAAACGTGGATTTTTTAAAGAATATTTTTTCAACATCAATAAACGTGGATTTTTTAAAGAATATTTTTTCAACATCCAATAAACGTGGATTTTTAAAGAATATTTTTTCAACATCCAATAAACGTGGATTTTTTAAAGAATATTTTTTCAACATCCAATAAACGTGGATTTTTTAAAGAATATTTTTTCAACATCCAATAAACGTGGATTTTTTAAAGAATATTTTTTCAACATCCAATAAACGTGGATTTTTTAAAGAATATTTTTTCAACATCCAATAAACGTGGATTTTTTAAAGAATATTTTTTCAAGGACCAATAAACGTGGATTTTTTAAAGAATATTTTTTCAAGTACCAATAAACGTGGATTTTTTAAAGAATATTTTTTCAAGGACCAATAAACGTGGATTATTTAAAGAATATTTTTTCAAGGACCAATAAACATGGATATTTTAAAGAATATTTTTTCAAGGACCAATAAACGTGGATTTTTTAAAGAATATTTTTTCAAGGACCAATAAACGTGGATTTTTTAAAGAATATTTTTTCAAGGACCAATAAACGTGGATTTTTAAAGAATATTTTTCAAGGACCAATAAACGTGGATTTTTTAAAGAATATTTTTTCAAGGACCAATAAACGTGGATTTTTTAAAGAATATTTTTTCAAGGACCAATAAACGTGGATTTTTTAAAGAATATTTTTTCAAGGACCAATAAACGTGGATTTTTTAAAGAATATTTTTTCAAGGACCAATAAACGTGGATTTTTTAAAGAATATTTTTTCAAGGACCAATAAACGTGGATTTTTTAAAGAATATTTTTTCAAGGACCAATAAACGTGGATTTTTTAAAGAATATTTTTTCAAGGGCCAGTAGACCAATAAACCTGGATTTTTTAAAAAATATTTTTTCAAGGGCCAGTAGACCAATAAACCTGGATTTTTTAAAAAATATTTTTTCAAGGGCCAGTAGACCAATAAACGTGGATTTTTTAAAGAATATTTTTTCAAGGACCAATAAACCTGGATTTTTTAAAAAAATATTTTTTCAAGGGCCAGTAGACCAATAAACCTGGATTTTTAAAAAAATATTTTTTCAAGGGCCAGTAGACCAATAAACCTGGATTTTTTAAAAAATATTTTTTCAAGGGCCAGTAGACCAATAAACCTGGATTTTTTAAAAAATATTTTTTTCAAGGATCGATAAACGTGGATTTTTTGATGAATATTTTTTCAAGGACCAATAAACGTGGATTTTTTAAAGAATATTTTTTCAAGGGCCAATATACGTGGATTTTTTAAAGAATATTTTTTCAAGGACCTTCAGACCAATAAACGTGAATTTTTTTAATTTTTTTTTTCAAAGACCTTTAGACCAATAAATATGGATTTTTAAAAGATATATTTTCCAGGACCTTCAGACCAATAAACGTGGATTTTATAACGACATTTTTTCCAGGACCTTCAGACCAATAAACGTGGACTTTTTTAATAATATTTTTTCAAAGACCTTCAGACCAATAAATGTGGATTTTATAAGGATATTTTTTCCAGGACCTTCAGACCAATAAGTGTGGATTTTTTAAAGAATATTTTTTCAAGGATCATCCGAACAATAAATGGTTTCAGTATATACCCATTAAAACTTTTCAAATTGTTCATGAAATACTAACTCCAGACGCCTGTTGAGTAACAACAATTTCCTTGGTAACACCCCTCTATTATTTCCAAATATCCCATTATGTTAGAAAATGTTTCCCCCCACACAAATCCCGATAACAAATCGATTTTTTTATTGGCATTTATTGGCAAAACATAGAATAAATAAAACAAAAAAAATTAGCGCAATACTGCAATTTTTAAATTTTCATTTAAAAATTCAAAATTTTCTTTTAACCTTCCGTTACAATGTCCTCGCATTCCGGTAACACCGAAGAAGATTGGTTAATATTTGAAGTTCTGTGCGGTTCCTTGGCCTCCATTCCTCGCCAGTCAACGACAATTGACAAGGTAACAGTTTCACCGGTAAGTTTTTCTTCAAACAATTCTTTCAAGGCTAACAGCCGGGTGGTGCTTGTGAATGTCTTAAAAGAAAATTGTTCGTCATAAAAAATATGTTTTCCTTAAAACTGTTGTTGTTGTTGTTTTTGTGAAATTCCTCGAAATGGAAAATATTTTCTGAGTCACGTTATTTAATGTTCGTCTACTGGGTGTATATTTTTTGTTGTTAGTTTTTGGAAAATGGTTTTCCATTTCATTGTGTTTTGTTTTCTTTTTTGCTTTTTTTTCATTTGCGTATTGAACTTCCTTATTTGTTTGTAATTTGTAAGCAATTTGTTGCTTATCAACAACAACTAAGCAACAAAGGTAACAACTAACGAACAAACAAAATTGGTAAATTTGCAAAACTACATTGCCAGGCGATATCTTCAGTTAGGTGAAGTGTTTGGTACCTAACGTCGTTTGTCCGATGAATATGTGAAGCAGCATTAAGGT